GATTGTGCAAGCGTGGCCTGTGAAACAGCCGAAACATTCGGTAATTTGGCAAATGTCTGTACCTGAAAGTCAGTGCTGGAACCACTCATGACTTCCATGCTTATCTGTAGAATCTGACCACAGGGTTTCAGTGTAACATTACCTTGGTATATCACCTAGGAACGGTCCAGGACCATTTCTGTTTTCAACGCAAAGGGGAAAAATCCTTTCCAATGACTTCACCTGAATTATTTGACATTTCCCAGCCCAGACCCCAGATCTGGTGATCAGATGATCCCAGCCCCAGCCTTCGCACCACCGCAAATAGAGAAAAGACGAGATGTTCCCGAGAGAGCCCTGCTCAATCTAAAGATTAATAAAGAAAATAAATACTGTTGCTATTTTTTACAACAGCTCTGTTTTGGGTAACTTGTTATGCAGCAATAGGTAACCAGAACAAATGGTAAAGCCTGGAGCCTCTGAATGCCCAGAGTAAATATTTTAGCAGCAGAGGCACATGATGTAGGACTGAACACACTTCAGCGGGGTAGGCTACACAGTCTAAATTTCAAAAAGTTATTTTTCCTGTTACATCATTTAACGATTAACTTCAGGGCTTTGGATCTCAGAGTGCAGAAGACCTGGGCCCTGTCTCCAGGGGACAGCTCAGGGCACAGCGAGGCTGGGAGAGCAGTCCATCCCCACCACCCACTGTGCCAGAGTGGAGGGGTGGTGAGGGAGCCACAGATCACTTATAGTTTCTGGAACTTTCAGGAGGCAAGGGGGAGGATCCCAAAGTCCCCATGGGCCCTGAGGGGGTGCACACTGTTTCTGCTTCTGAAGCCCTTCCTTGGCTTCTGAGAACAACCCTCTCCCATTCCCTCCAACCCTTCTGGCTGTTCATTCTCTATCCCCTTTGCAGGCTCGTCCTCCTTCTCCTGACCTGGGAACATCAGGGGTGCCCAAAGCTCAGTCCTGGGCCCTCACCCCTTCTTCTCAGCTATAGGCCTACCGTGGTATAATAAAAATAGACATTTGGTCTTTGTCCTTGGCTCCTGGAATAGAAAGCCTAAAACTCTTGGAATTTTCTGATAGGACATTTGTTATTACTTACGTTGTTAGTGTTTGTTGTAACAAAAATTGTTTGTTATTTATACAGAGTCCCTTTTGATCACACCTGAATTTATAATAATAAGATGACTTAGAATGGACTCCCTAGAGAGCCTCAAGGTGGGCTGGGTACCAGAAACAGCGACTGATCAGAGGACTGGAACTTTTAACTCCACCCACTGACTTTCAGAAAGGGGCAGGGGCAGGAGACTGAGCTCCTGAGGTCTTGAACAGCAAGGCTGGTGGAGCTTCTCGTTGGGGAGCATGTGGAGACCCCGGAGGCTGGTGCACCCAGAGAGCCCCTGGGAGTCCCATGCCCATCCCATACTCTGTCTTCTATCTCTTCCCTTTGCTGGTTTCTGAGTTTTCTCCTTTATAATAAACTGGTGAACTCAAGCAAAGTTTTTTCTGAGTTCTGTGAGTCATATGGAAGTGGGGTGGGTCATGGGAACACAGAATTTGTAGCTGGTGGGGCAGAAATAGGGGCAGCCTGGGCACCCCATTTGCAAGTGGCTTGTGAAGTGGGGGCAGACTTATGGGACTGAGCCTCTAAACTGTGGAGACAGATACTAGCTCCAGGTAGATAACGTCAGAATTGAATTGTTGGACACCCTGTTGGAGAACTGGTGTTAGACACCACTTGGTGTTGGAAAGAACCAGAGAAACTGAACCAGCTCAAAACAGAATCCATGATCTTGCCCTCCCTCTAGTCCTCTTCTGCCTCTTCTGGGGGTCCTTGCCCCAGTGACTGCTACTGTCTCTACCCAGCAGCTCAAGTCCAAATCCTAAGGCACCTCCCTCCTACCTCCCCCCACCTCCCCCTACTTGGGGCCGTAAGTGTGCCACATTGGTTTTCACTCCTAAGTAGTTCTCAGACTTGCCCACCCCACCACCATCATCTCTTAAGCATGATGACTACAACAATGGCAATAGCCTCCTGTAGGACCCACTCACATTGTTTCTGCCCCCAGGAATTTGCTCTTTGTCCTGGGTCCAGAATGATCTTTACAAAATTTAAACCTGGTTAGTCACATTCATGACTCAAAACTTTTCGATGGCCTCTCCCTGCTCAAGGTTGAGTGGCTGTCCCCTCCCATCCTCAGCTCTGCCAGCTCCTCCCAACCCCAGCCTTCAAACCACTGCAAATGGAGAAGAGAAACTGTGGCCTTCTTCCAGTCCAGCTCCCCAACACTCCCTCCAACAGAGCTCCTGCGTGGCTCAGCATGTTCTTCCCTGCAGTCCGAGCTTTCCTTCCACCTCACCTTCCTCACAGGCCTCCTGAACAGCTCAGATCCCACCTTTTCAGCATCAGCCAGAGGAGTTGAGTTTGTACAGTGCTGGCCCTTCCAAAGCACTGAGAGCTCCATGGAGGTGGGACCTCTAGCATTTGCACCAGACAGAGGAGGGTGGGCTAGGCCTGGGACCAGGGTACCGCGTGACCCTGAGAGTGATGCCTCCTCCAATTCCATGCCCTAGCACCTCCGTCTGGTTCCTGTCCTGGAGTGAGCACATGCCCCAACGAGGGATGTAGCTGAAAGATTCACCATCACCTCAAAATCTCTTTGAAGTCTTACTTTATCTTTAAAATAGCTTGCGAATTTTGTATGCAATTCCATAATGTGGCAGTGTTTATTTAAATGTAAAAGCAATGTCTTCTTTTCCAAATCAGAGTTGCTGCAGGAAGATGGGCCAGGTGTGCCTGGGGCCTCTTGGAGGTGCCATGCCCAATTCGAGACACAATCATGGAATTCTGCACTGGGCATAATATGACCAGCAAGAGTCCAGCAAGGGGACCAGCAGGGCCTGGGTACAGGACACCATGTCCAGCCCAGGCTTAGTAGTAGTGGGGGAGATGTTTCCTCTAAGTTGCCTGGGCTCAGATCCCATGACTGCCAACCTGTGGGGCCTTGGTGATGAGAAATCTTTCCGGAGTGTTTTGTCCTATATGCAGGCAGGAATGATGTGATTCCTATTTCATGGATAGGACATCCATAGCTGCTCAATCAATTAATGTTAGATTTTTTTTTTTTTTTTTTTTTTGACAGAGTTTCACTCTTGTCGCCCTGGCTGGAGTGCAAGGGTGGGGTCTCGGCTCACTACTGCAACCACTGCCACCTGGGTTGAAGCGATTCTCCTGCCTCAGCCTCCCGGGTAGCTGGGATTACAGACATGCACCACCATGCCCGGCTAATTTTTTGAATTTTTAGTAGAGATGGGGTTTCCCCATGATGGTCAGGCTGGTCTCAAATTCCCGACCTCAGGTGATCCGCCTGCCTCGGTCTCCCAAAGTGCTGGGATTACAGGCGTGAGCCTGAGCCACAGCGCCGGACCTAATGTTAGCTCTTAACACGCTCCTCATCCTCCACTCACCATCTGTTTTAACATCCCCCCGCAACCCTCTCGCCCCGCCAACATGGCTAAGGCCCTGGCCCCTTTCAATTCTGCCAAACCATGACGTGTTTTAGTTATTAAGCCTTAATTAATTACGTTTCTAAGTTAGTGGTTCTGTTTCTAGAATCCCCAACTTTTTATATAAGTAACTTTATAGACATCCTCATTGATTTATCAGCAGTTCCCAGATACGGTCCCCAGAGTCTAGTATCACCATCCCCTTGTTAGAGATACTTCCAGGACCCAGCCCAGGCCCACTGAGTCAGACACGCTAGGGAGCTGAGAGCAGTGGGGCGCCCCTGTAATCCCAGCTACCTCAGAGGCTGAGGTCTCAGACTGCTTGAGGCCGGGAATCTGAGATCAACCTGGGCAGTATAGCAAGACCCCCATCTCGAAAAAATTAGAAAGAAAGAAACTCTGGGAGTGGGGCCCTGTGACGTGCCAACAAGCCCCCGCGTGAGGTCTGTGCATGCTGAAGTGAAAATCACTGACTTAGACGGTCCAGGTGGCCTTAACACTTTTAGAAGTTCCCCCAATCGCCAGGTACCACGACGCACTCCCCCACCCCTCCTGGGCCCCTTGCAAGGCCAGAGCGGCAGGGCGGCAGCCACGCAGTCTGGGCCTGGGCCAGGCCCCCATTCCTGGCGGGCGGGCAGGGGGCGTGGGGCGCTGGGGTCCAGTCGCGGTGGGAGGCGGTGCGCGCGGCATGGTCGCTGGCCCCGGAGGGCCACCCTTCTCTCTCCCTGCGAGGCCCGGGGCTCGGACTCGCGGGCGCGGCGGGGGGGCCAGGGGGAGGGGCGGGACGTGCTCCAGGCCCCAGCAAGAATGGCCTCCCGCCGCTCTCTGCTGAGGGCCATAGCCGCTCCCCCGCGCGTCCCCGCACGGTCCCCGCCCCAGACTGGCCGCAGCCCACCCGCGCCGCCACTGGGCAGATGCGAGCGGCGGCTCATGCTTCTCGACTTTCGGAAGCGCAGAGCGGAGCGCGCCTGACCCAGTCAGGCTTCCGAGTGGGACTGGAGTCCCGGGCGCCCTGAAGTTTGGGGAAGGCAGCAGCAGAAGGGAAGGGACGCTCCCTGCCCTCCGGCGGCGTGGGACAGGCCTCCTTCCAGCCTCCGCGTAGGCAAGTTTTCTCCAATTGCGTGCTGCACCGGGGACTCCCCAGGCCCGAGAGACAGCGGAGAGGGGAGCGCTCGGTGACCCTCTGGGGGACAGACCCGTCAGGCCAAGTTCATGGGCAGGAAGTCTCTGTGCACGTGGGGGTCTCTGACGGTTGAGCGCGAGCTCTGCACCCCACTTCGAGGCGCTCCAGAGGCGGAACAGACGCTGGGGTGCGGGTAGGGGCCGCAGGGAAGCTGCGAAGGACAGAAAGTCACCCCCCACATTCCACCCGAGCACTCGGGAACTCGCTTCCAGGTGTCCCAGCGGCCGCGCCTCCCCGCCCTCAGCCCTCCCCCTGGCCCGGGCAGGTTCAACCCGGAGGCGGTGTGGCCCGGGAGCCAGCCCCAGGCCCGCATCCTCCTCCCACTTCGCCCTGGGCAGCCGCAGCTAAAAGCCGGAGGCTCCAAAGTGGAACTCTTGTCGAGCCTGGGCCGACTCGCTTCGGGGAGGGCGAGCCTGAGCTGGAGCCCTGAGCTCCTTCCACCGCCCAAGAAGTTAGTTAAGTCTCCAGAGGGGTCCAGTTCCGCCCGGGCAATTCCAGGGACGAATGGGGTCATGGAGCCCACAGGAGCGCGACTAAGTTTGGAGGCGCGGGGACCAGCGCCCTCTGGAGAGCCCCCGCCGGCCGAGGTGCTGCCCGCCCCGGGGGTCCTATGCGTGGAGGGTAGCGGCGACGGCGAGGGCACTTCGGAGACCCCGAGTCCCGACGCTCAGCTAGACGACAGACCCCTATCCCCGAAGGAAGAGGCCGCCCTCCAGGAGCAGGAGGAGCTGCTGGATTGTCGCCGACGCTGCCGCGCGCGCTCCTTTTCCTTGCCCGCGGATCCCATCCTGCAGGCGGCCAAGTTCCTGCAACAGCAGCAGCAGCAACAGGCTGTGGCGCTGGGCGGCGAGGGGGCGGAAGACGCGCAGCTCGGCCCGGGCGGCTGCTGCGCCAAGTGCAAGAAGCGAGTGCAGTTCGCGGACACGCTGGGGCTGAGCCTGGCCAGCGTGAAGCACTTCAGCGAGGCGGAGGAGCCGCAGGTGCCGCCCGCCGTCCTCTCGCGCCTCCGAAGCTTCCCCATGCGCGCGGAGGATCTGGAGCAGCTGGGGGACCTGCTGGCCGCAGCGGCGGTGGCCGCTCCCCTCTCAGCGCCGCCTTCCCGGCTCCGGCCGCTATTCCAGCTCCCGGGGCCGAACGCCGCGGCCGAGCGCCTGCAGCGGCAGCGCGTGTGCCTGGAGAGCGTGCAGTGCTCGGCGGCCCCGGGCGCGGAGGTGAAGGGCTCCGGCCGGGTGCTCAGCTGCCCTGGGCCCAGGGCCGTGACCGTGCGCTACACCTTTACCGAGTGGCGCACCTTCCTGGACGTGCCGGCTGAGCTGCAGCCCGAGCCGCAGGAGCCACAGCCACCAGAGGCGCCGTCGGAGGCTTCGGAGCCCCGGTCCGGGGATGCAGAGAAACAGCCAGGAGCCGAGTGCTTCCACTTCTCACTGTGCCTGCCTCCGGGCCTGCAGCCTGAGGATGGGGAGGAAGCCGACGCGCGCAGCGTCGCGGTCCACTTCGCGGTCTGCTACCGCTGCGCGCAGGGTGAGTACTGGGACAACAACGCAGGTGCCAACTACACGCTGCGCTACGCGCGCCCTGCGGACGCGCTCTGAGCCTGGAGCGCTTCGAAGAGCCGTGGGGCGGGGCTAATCAGCACGTGGAGCTCGAGCCGCGGTCCCCAAGGACTTGCTGGGATGCTTTGCTGAGCATGACGGATCTGAAGACAGGGGCGCGTGGAGGGAAAGTGGGGAGACGTCGAACTGTCGACTCGCATCCCAGCAGACACGTGAGCGAGCTTAGAGAGCCCGGGCAAAGCTCCGGCCTCAGTCTTCTTGTCCTTGGGACCTTCCTACACGGCCTCTAGAATTCCCAGCCTGTGTCAGAATAGGAAGAGACTCCCAAGGCCCGGAGCGGCTGCCTCCAAAGAAAAAGGCTCCCGACTCCCAGGCGTGGTTCTAAGACCTTGGGATTGGTTTTTAACTCTAAATACCGTATTTTAACCCTTGCAGCTTGCTGGAAACCCCTACGGAAAGGACAAATTGTCCTGCCACCGTGCACCAAAGGAAGATACCACGGACTGTGGGTGCATGGTGCATGGGACCTTTACACCCCAGCCTGTCTCTCAGAGAAAACCCGGGCGGGGCTGGGCCAAACTACCGTTTTCTTTTGACTGGGATGTGGGAAATGTTTGCCCAGACTTGGCGCTGTTTACTTGTGCGATTGTGTACAAATGTCCTTTTAAAAAGTAAAGGCCATTCGCCCCCGCTTTTACGCTGTACTCTGTATTTTAGCTCCCGTGCGTTTGGGGAGGCATTGGCAGTCGGCCAATCTTTGTCAGCTGATGATGCGCGCACTTTTAACAATCGTTAAACAACAGTCTACAAATTCCTCTCCTTCAGCCCTTCTGCTCTGCTGCAAAAGGGCCCCAATTTCCCACGTGCTTTAAAATGTTCTGTAGAAAATGTTCTGTCCCCTGCCGTAAGGACGTTTGGTGAATTGAAATGCCAGAGTCCTCGGGCAGGCCTTGGCTGTGATCTGCGAGAGCCGGCCACACACGCCCCAGCACCCTTTGTGTAGACAGAGCACGCTGTTGTGAGACTCGTCCGGCCATTAGCAGTAGAGAAGCTGGGCCCTTTTAGTCGTGGGACTGCGAGCGCAGAGGATGGAGGATGGAAAGGTGCTTTCTGTTCCTCTCAGAGCCCCAGTACGGAGTGGCGACTTGATGGACGAGGAAGCAGGCCCAGCGAGTCAATGCTACACAGATGCAGATGGGCACCTTGGCAGGCCCGTGGGGTGTGGGGTGGGGTATGGACGGCCTTGGCCGCTGTGCTGGCTGTGGATGTCAAGATGATGTAGCCCGCTGTGCATGAGCGGGTACAGGGGCATCCTGAGTGAGGTCATGGGTCTGTCACCCCTTGACACTGCCTCAGTAATTTCCTTCTTCTTTTTTTTTTTTAAGTCTTCCCATTTTACAGCACATGACTAGTATAATCAGTGGTTTGGGGGATGGTCATCCCTAAGGAGGGACAGTTTCACGGTTGCTTGATGGAACAGGGCTGGGCATGCGTACTACAGCCCATGGGCCCAATTTGGCACACAGCCTATTCTTGTAGGGCCTGTGACCTAAGAATGGTTTTACATTTTTATTTTTTATCTTATTAATATGTTTTGAGATGGAGTTTCATTCTTATTGTCCAAGCTGGAGTTCAATGGTGCGATCTTGGCTCACTGCAACCTCTGCCTCCTATTCAATCAATTCTCCTGCCTCAGCCTCCAGAGTAGCTGGGATTATAGGTGTCGGCCACCACACTGGGCTAATTTTTGTATTTTTAGTAGAGATGGCGTTTCACCATGCTGACTAGGCTGGTCTCGAACTCCTGACCTCAGGTGATACACCCACCTCGGCCTTCCAAAGTGCTAGGATTATAGGCGTGAGCCACCATACCCAGCCGGAAACGCTGTTTTTTTTTTTTACTTCCAGACCACAAAATAGACACATTCTACCTTGTGATCTGTTGTGTTCCTCCTTGGACTCCCTTTAGCTGATCAGGGAGTCGCCATCAGAATGCAGCCCACACTGATCTTTAAATCCTCCAGGGTCTGTTGTCAGAGTGCTACTGTAACTTCAGGCGCATTCAGATTTAAACTCTTGATTCTTCTTGGTAGACTCTGCATCTGCTTTTTGTGAAGTTTAGTTCTTTGACTTTGGTTGACTGTGAACAGGAAAATTTTGGAAATAACAGAGGCACATGTCAGCTAAATGAAGATTTTTGAGATGGCAAAGATCAAGGGCTTCCTTTTAAGATTCGCTGGTGAGAGAATTTCCTAGTGAGTTGGGTACTAGAAGAATTGAATAGGTGAGATCAATGGAGTAGTAAAAGTCTGTTTAAGTAAGTCATGGGTTCAGAGCAAGTTCAACCAGAAACTCTACATTTATACAAACCACACATACACTTATGCAAACTTTTCTGGTAAGGCAAAGCCATTTTCAAGTGACTTATGAGGCATTTAAGGAAATTGGGCTGGTATAATTTCTCCGACTGTCGTTACTCCTCCATTTCCATCCTTGTCATTGGTCTGGTCAGGTCCTGTTCTTTGAAACTTGTTACCTGAGGTCCTTTCCCACAGAGTTAACAGCATCTTAACATATCCAGAAACAGGAAATTCGGTCTGAAAATCTCGATGGAATTAGGAATGGGGCAGACAGATTTCATGAACTAAGTTTGAAACATTTCATTTTAAAGTTGAAAATTTCGTGAACACAGCCTGCAAATGGTTTTTCTACAAGTAGCTACGCTGGGGTCAGGTTGAGGAGGCTTCCCCTCTGGCAGATGAGACTTTTCTGTTCATGGGAAACTAACAACACTTAAAGGGGCCGCCTTGCTGTGCTCTCTCAGGACCTGTGGTTTCAGCTCCTCCCTTGATGGCTTTGGGTAAAGAACCCTTGTCATCAGGAGACTGTTCTGGTGCAGATGAGGCAGCATCTTTTTAAACCCTTAATAGGTGAAGAGCTCACTATTTCCCAGAAAGAGTTTCCCACCCCACCCCCTGTAGGCATTACATTATTTAAAAAAAAAAGAAAAACGTGGTGAGTTTCTGTTCATAAGCACTGTAAGTAGGCTGAAGCAGTCCATTGCGTTCCTTTCAGTCTGGTTAAGCAGCAGTCGTGTTTATGTGCACAGATTTCAGGCAGTTTTTAAAACTGCACTTTTCAGCCAGCAAAACCAGAGCCCCTGTGACACTCAGATCACCATTAGGTGCAGAACCTAAGATTAGTGAGTTTCTGTTTGCTGCATTAGGATTGTAAAAGCGTAGAAGGTCCCCAAGATATCTGTGAATATACTTGGTTGCAGACAAGTGTTAACAATGAAACATGCAATATGTTCTTTGGAAATAAAAATAACTTAGTACACATTTAGAAAGGTCTGTGGGTGCCCCACCCCCCAAGAAAACCCCACCTGAACTAGATGTTGCTTTTGTAACCAGAATCCTGAGTTATTTTGGATGGTGCTATTTACCAGAGTAATTAAAGATGAATTTATGTGTTGGTGCAATGAGCCCTGGAAGGCTGCTTTTTTTGTTTTGTTTTGTTTCTGGCAGAGGAAATGATGCCGTTGAGACATATTGCAAAAATGTTGAGTTCTGAGGCCAGGAGTTGTCCCTGCCTGGCATGACCCACCACTATCGAGAGCATGTGACAGTGGAGGGGGTTGGAACACCCGCCTTGGAGCTCCAAGCCCAGGCCGTGGCTTGTCCTCCCTGGCCCCTGCAGACTCTGGCCTGGGCAGAAGTGCCCTGATGGCTGCTTCAAAGTCAAAGGCAGAGCTTTCTGAGCCTTCACTTTAGACTCTGCCATGTCCAGTTGGTTCAGAAAATCTTACAAAATGAGGCTGATATATCCAGCTATAATTAGTCACTTTATGAAAACTTTTTAAAAGGAGTCTGTGCTATCTGGGTAGATTTGTTGGATCCAAGGGTTTTTACAACAATTCAGCCCCATTTTCTGCAGGCACACGCGTGAGAGGCAACGGTGGATGCCTGTGGCCCATTAACCATTATGTGATAGCAGAGGTTTGGGACTGTAGGGCAAGGGAGACGCAATTTGATGTGCAACGGCTTCCTTGTGAGTAATGGTCCATCGATCACCATTATATCACCGAGATGTCCAAGTCATTTCTTCAGGGTCTGAAAATGCAGTGTAGCCTAACCAGGTATGTGTCTGGAGTTCCTGAGCTTTCTAGGGATGCTGCCTGTGAAGGGTCCTGACTTGCCAGTGGGCCTGATGAGAGCCCCAAACCTGACTGGGGTGGTTCTCGGGACTGGGGCAGAGACGGCCATCCACTCTGTTGGTGAAATGTATGACTTACCTGAAACTGAATGGGGCTGATTGTTCCTTTATAAGCTAGCTATGCAGCAATGGCAAGAATGAGCCACTATTGTGGACAGTGTATTTTAATGTGATTACGTGGAATTTTATACAGTTCCCTCTAATAACGTAAAAGAAAATAAACTCACTTACCTCTGTATTCAGATTTGCCTGAGGTCTGGTGCAGTGGCTGATGCCTATAACCCCAGCACTTTGGGAAGCTGAGGCAGGAGGTTCATTTGAGGCCAGGAGTTCAAGACAAGCCTGGACAACAAAGCAAGACCCCATCTCTATACAAATTTAAAAAAATAGCTGGGCACGGTGGCTCACACCTGTAACCCCAGCATTTTGGGAGGCCAAGGTGGGCGGATCACGAAGTTAGGAGTTCAAGACCAGCCTGAGCAACATAGTGAAACCCTGTCTCTACCAAAAAGTACAAAAGTTAGCCAGGTGTGGTGGTGCACGCCTGTAATCCCAGCTACTCAGGAGGCTGAGGCAGGAGAATCGCCTGAACCTGGAAGGCGGAGGTTGCAGTGAGCTGACATTGCGCTACTGTACTCCAGACTGGGCGACAGAGCAAGACCCTGTCTCAAAATAAATAAATAAATAAATAAATAAATAATTAGCCAGGCATGATGGCACACACCTGTAGTCCAAGCTACTCAGGAGGCTTAGGTGGGAGGATCGCTTGAGCTGAAGAGTTTGAGACTGCAGTGAGCTATGATGGCACCACTGGACTCCAGCCTGGATGACAGAATGGGAGCCTGTCTCTGAAAACAAAACCAAAAATTAGAAAAAACTTTGAGCAATATGCCTGGTGGAATATTAGGGATGATAACAGATTTCTGTGAACATGGTTTTGACAGTGTTTATTTAAACCAAGAACGACTGCAGTCCAAGCCCAGCCTTCAGGCGTCTCCTTGGTTTTTAAACAGGGTAATTCTATCTTTGTGGCTTGAAAATGTCTGTTCAGTGCTCCCCTCCCTGTGCCCACGTGTTCTCACTGTTCAACGCCCTCCCCGTGCCCACGTGTTCTCACTGTTCAACGCCCTCCCCGTGCCCACGTGTTCTCACTGATCAACGCCCTCCCCGTGCCCACGTGTTCTCACTGTTCAACGCCCTCCCCGTATCCATGTTTTCTCACTGTTCAACACCCTCCCTGTGTCCATGTGTTCTCATTGTTCAACACTCTCCCCGTGTCCATGTGTTCTCATTGTTCAACGCCCTCCCCGTGTCCATGTGTTCTCATTGTTCAACACTCTCCCTGTGTCCATGTGTTCTCATCGTTCAACGCCTGCCTGTGAGTGAGAATGTGCGGTGTTTGATTTTCTGCTCTTGTGTCAGTTTGCTGAGAATGATGGTTTCCAGGTTCATCCATGTCCCTACAAAGGACATGAA